AGTTATAAAGTGCCCATATAATCTTTTGTGATGTTTATCGAGCCATAATGGAGTTCGTCTACAATCCTCAAAACTATGGTACGATTTAGTACTTTTATTCTTTTATTTCCAAGACCATCGTACTTCGGCTAATCGGCTTAGAACTATAAAACTCTCAAACTGTTAAATGATTATGTTTTATCCTGCATTTCTTTCTGTTTAGGATGTACATATAACATTAACATAATATGGGTACTATCATCTATGTAAAACGCATATAGGCTAAAAAAAAAACTCAGGCTCAGTTCTCAGTTCTGTCATTTGTCGGTCGATTCATATATTCAGTAACTTCAGTTTCAACCAGTAAACTTAAAGACTAAAGTTCAAGATGTATTCGGGTGATTGAGTTTACAGTTTACTGATCTACGCCAAAACTTGTAGGAGTTAACTGTTAAGGAATAAGGATGTACATAATAGGGCCGGACCAGTGGAAAGAAATTCATAGTATATTCTTAATTTTTACCCGGTTAATGATGTGTTGAAAACCACTTCACCAACTTGGGTTCCACCGTTCCAGAAGCAGTGAAGCACCAAACGACTTCGCTCTCCAAATCGAACCAACCATCCTCGGTGACTCGGTCCTCCAGCAGTCGAGAGCAGAAGAGTTGAAGAAGAGCTGCAGCCTGCAGTTGGCAGAAGCTGAAGGGCGCTGGGCGGAGTCGACTAGCGAGGAGACGACAGACGAGTGGCGACAAGCCGACGACTATCGGACTGGAGTGGGGACTGACGAGTGACGAGCAGAGCTGCAGAGGCGTCCAGCAGATTTTGGGGAATTTTTGATTTTGGGAATTTTGGGAGTTTTTGATTGAATTTTGGGAATTTTTGGTTAATTGGGTTGGATAGTGGATATTAGATATGTAAATTGGGTTGGGTAAATAATTTGAAAGGTAAATGGATTGTGGGCTCGTTGGATAATTGTTTTTGGTTCTTTGGGCCGGCTGTTTTTAAGAAGGAAAAAAAATATTGGGCCAAAATTAGGCCCTTTCGACCGGCTGGATAATTGGTTTTGGTTTGGGCCAACTGATCTTGTTTTCAAGAGAAAAAAAAATAATTGGACCAAAATGAAGCCCCCTATGGTCCTGGGCCTGAGGCGCGGGCCTCACTCGCCTCAACCCAGGACCAGCCCTGGTACCCATCCAACCCCAGGGACTTGTCATTCCCAATCCAAATAAGTGTTTCCTTGATCTCCTGTCTAGATATGTCCCGAGTGAGATAGCTAGCTTGCTCCAAGGATACCGTCTTGCCCTCCCTCAAAATATCTATGTCAATAGTCTGAACGGGGTTGCTCATGCCTAGCAACTTACTACAAAAGAGGATGAATTCTTGAACAACCTGATTTTGGGAAGATGTGTACGGCCCCTCTTCCTTAAGTATGGTCACAACGAAGTTCCTCTTACTGTTACTTTTCACTACATAATGAAAAATAAACTTTGTACTTATGTCACTATTCTTTAAGTAAGTACACTTTGCTTGTTGATAGTAGAAGCTCTTTTCCGCTTCACATAGATCCATGGCTTTCTTTCTCAAGCATGTCACCATATATTGAAGATGTGTATTAGCGGGTTGGTCATGGAGTTTAAGTTGGGCAGCCTCTAACTCCATTTTAGCATTGTTGGCTCTTGTGGAAATGTACGCAAAGTGTTTAGTATTAAGCTCTTACAATGTTCCTTTAAGATTTTGCAACTTCTTGCAAAGGTTAAATTGTTTCGTACCCTTAATGTCAAGATTCCAACTCGTTTGTACTAGCTCATGGAAGTTTTCATGACTAGTCCACGTGCAGAAGAATCTAAACGGCTTCCTAGTGTTCCCTTCTTTAATTTGTAGTATCGAAATCATGTTATTCTTGTGAAAGGGGCTGATTGTTATTTAAATCAGTATAAAGCATGACCCAACCACCTAAATTTTTCTTGCCCTAATTTATCTTCAATTTGCACCATCTCTACTTTTAGACTTGTATACTCATCTTTCTATCTTATTCATTTTAGTATGATTATGTTAGTATCATCCATAATAATGCAAACGACCCATTTTTTCGTCACTAATTGAAGAGAAAAACTGAAAATACTGGAAAGTTTGTTGGCAGTGAGTTCCCACCTAATACAGAGTGGAAATTCCCCTCGCTGACATTTCTTTGTCACAGCTCAGCTCACATGCCAATCTTATGGTGATTGGTGTGGGAATAAAGCATAAATTTTTGAATTATTCAATGTGGAAGCAAGAAAATAATGTACGCTGCCTAACTTCAACTTGCAACTCCAGTATTTTTTTTTTATTATTGTTTATTTTTAATTCTTATTCCATTTTTGAAATTAAATAGTTGTTTTTGTGCATCATTTGCGCACATTGATAAAGTTGTTTCATTTGATCAATTACTAAAATAGACTAATCATGAAAAAATATTGCCTGTTATGCCTAAAAAGTGAGTGGGTCCTACTCCTTTGGCCTTATTGCACCATATACCGTTAAAATAAAATATTAAATGACTATGATCGTTCTTTCAGCAATAATTTTTAAGTTAATTTATTTATTTGTATCATCAAGTGCCCACACACATGTACAAGATAACTTATTGTTGTATATGGTGGTCAGTCCTCCTGAAATAAAGTATCGAAGAATTTTAAAAGTTTAATTACTAGTCGTTTTAAAACTAATTCAATAATTGTATTAGTACTAGAGGTAAAAGTAAAATCGAGACCAGAGTTATGTTGGTTTTTTTTTTTTAAATCCAAATTAGGTTTAATTTTTTTCAAAAAGAAAATTTTTTATTTCCTTTATTCCATGCATTTTTATGGAAAAAAAATATTATTTCCTTTATTCCACTCGTTTTTTAAACTAATTCCATCTTTAAAATATTGTTAGGGTTATGATATGTCCTTTATATATATAGTTGACTCTTCTTTACAAATTGAATTATTACTGAAATATAGAATAATTATGTACATACATTTATTGTATCCGTTTTTTCCATATTAGTCAATTGAATAAAATACTTCATTTCTCTAACAATTGATTTTTTTATCTTTTATCTTTTTATTTACTTATAATCATATATTTCATATCGTAGCATATGTGTCATCTTGATTCGTTTTATTTTCCTAAAAAGTTGGGTAAGAACCGTAGGATTCGCGTGTTCATTGTGATTGGGCCCATTAGATTCTTTGATTATCCCAATTGAGTTGGGTTGCACTCACGGGACTGGGTATAAATCTGATGGGCATGCACGTATAGACTGGTCAAGTCAGTGCTCCACAGTGGAGGACAATAAATTCAACTAACAGCGAATGACGAAATTATCCCCATCATTGCTCAACTGAGAACCC